TGTATGTGATGTATGTATGTATGTATGTATGTATGTATGCACAATGTACGGATGTACGTATGTGCGTATGTTTATATATATATATATGTACGTTCTATATGTATGTATGTATGTACGTATGCATGCATGCATGTATGCATGTATGTATTTACGTACGCATGTATTTATTGATGAATGTTTGAACTTAATGAGCACAAGTTTAACGACTGAACATACAAGCATTCAGTCATATTACACCATCTGTACATACACACACACACACACTTGTGCACACGTATATGTATGCATATATATATATATATATGTAAATATATATATATATATATATGATATAGATATGTATATCTATGTACATATATACACACATGTGTGCGTATATATGTGCATCTATGTATCAATGTATATGAGATGCACATATGTGTATGAGATGTATGTGCACCCTCCTCAAGAAGTTGCTGCTCGCAGGAGGCTATCCGGGAGTTGCACGCGGTCTGCAACCGAGTGCCGAGGCTCCGACCAGCTTCAGTGCAACACAAAATCCACGCCCATCCCTTCCCCAGTATCTCACACTAAAAAACATGTTGCTATCGTACGTTGTAACGGTAGTCTATAGTAGTTTATATTGCCTTTTATAGTATATTATCGCGTATCCGCGTATATTCTAGTGTGTTAATCATAATAAGGAACCCCCCACGGAATAATAGTGGTAAAGGTTCCACCCCAAAGGAAACGGCCTTACATGGGATCCCGTGTGCCAAAGCAGGTCCGCTGGAAGATGTGTTCCGTGGGAACCCAGAACCTTGTTTTGGGGGTTGTAAGAATTTAATCCCAATCTATGATTCTGCAATATTCTGCATAAGAATAGGGTTGCAATAACCAATCCCTACATTGTTTCTATATAAGAACCCGAAAAAGCGGTGTTTCGGGGTCCCAAGGCACCCGTCAGCGTCCAGTTTGGTATCCCAACGTCAGCCTGCACGGACAGGTACAATCACTTGCCGAGGAGCGGGAAAAGCTACCGCGGCTAGCCCAAAAGATCTTGTCTGGTATGTTGGCTCTGACTTGCGACGAAGTGTAGGGTTATGGGTTTAGGGTTCAGGTCCTCATGACCAGGTGTTACAGTAGCTGATTTTCTGGGTAACTGGGTCTCCAGGGAAAGGTCGTCGCCCTGATTGGAAGGCTTTGGTGCGTGGCGGAACGCCTCAGGCTGCGCCAACCCAAGTAGGCGGGTTGTCAGAGGGTTTTTGTTGCACAGCAGCCCAGAGCAGCGCGCACATAGGGCGTTGCAGGCTAGCCAAGGGGAGGCCACCCAGACTGCCAGGGGGAACTTTGGCACGACTGCCGAGACGGCGTCTGCAGAGGTCACGCGTTTGAAGGGCGCGATCGATGAAAAGGCGCTGCGCTTCACCAGTGCCCTTGACGGCGTCAACCAGGCAGTAGCCACGGAACCTCGGCAGCATCAGGTAGTTGCCAAGTTGACGTCGCGGGTTGTGTATGTGAAACAACTGTCCCAGAGTTCTGTGTCAGTCACCCAGGCTTGAAGTTGTGGGTTTTTGACTGGGTTCTTCTGCTTTCATTCCGAAACTCGCGAGAAGAAACGCTGAGGAGATGACTACAAACCAGAGCTTAGTGGATGCCCGCGCGGCAGCAGAAGCTCTCTTTTCCAGCTGCCGGTGCACAACGCTGAGTCAGTATGAAACCATCAAGAACGCGGCCAACACAAGCAGCCTGATCGCGGCGGAGAACATCAAGCTGTTGAAGTACCTGAACTGCACCCTGGGCCAGGGAAAGCGGGCTGACGTCTGCTCCATGGCCGCAAGCCACCCGAGCATTGATTTTCGTGCGGAAGACTTCGTGATGACCGCGGACACAGTCTGCACGACGACTTCGACCACCACCATCCCACAAGGGCCACCACCGGTTTCGATCAACGTGTGGCTTGAATTTGAGTCGCAGTGCAGCTGCACCACTGGTCAGAATGACGCTTGCCTTTACAAGTGTCATGGGGAGCAGGAGAAGGGTGGGCAGACATGCTTCACCTACACGAAGCTCGCTACTACATCCTGGAAGGACTGCATGAAGCGTGCTTCCTCACTCGGTGCCACGCTCTGCTCTGAGGACTACACCGCCGATGGTGGCTGGGGCACCCATCGCGTGGGTAACACAGTGGATGCTCCTGTTCATTTTTGGTCTCATTCCTTCACGGACATCACCTCCAGCAGGGACTGCATCGTTGGCAAGCACGACCGGGTCACCGACTTCGACAGGAGCCTTTGCACAGAGACGGTGAAGTATGACGGCGACACCTGGCAGTACCATGATGCCGGCACATTGTACTACGATGAGTGCGTCTACTTGGCGAGCCGTGCGGGTGCTTCCGTCATTGATCCATCAACGATTGGTATGGGTACTGGAGATGGCTACTGGTTCTTCACGCGGCATTCCGGGAATCTTTACCAATACTGGACCGGTGCCGAAACTTCCGGCATGTTCAATGTCGGATGCCAGGACCGAGGTGGCCAGAAAGCGTGTATGTTCGGTTTCATGGAGGCTTAGACCGGAATCGCAAAGTTGAGTCAAGGTTTGAAGTACAGTGCAAACAGAGCCACGTGCAGCCGTCACGGCGGAACCTTGGCCAGTTGTATTTTGAGCACTGCCTAGGCGAAGGCAACGCTCACGACTATGGAGCCAGGTTTTGGCACCGCACGTGTAAGAAAGGGACCTGTGCCAACATGTCTTTGATCAAGACTTCCGGCATGCTCTCTCCTCAAGCCTGAAGGCCTCTGCTTTGGCCTCCGGAGCCGCCAGGCCTGGGGAGAAGCCGTCGCTGTCTGCACCCAGCCTTGAGCAACTGCGTAAAACCCGGCGAATGCCTGCAAGAGGCCTTGTGCGGCACAGCCGACATGCAAAGGCAGGGCACCCAAGACCTATCTTGTTCCGGTCCGCTAAGAATCAGCATCCCATGAAGCAGGGACCATGACCAAACACAATGCCTGTCTTATAAGTTGTGAATTATGTTGTGCTTTAACCCACACCTTGGACGCTCCTATAGGATCCTATAGATGTATTGCGGACTCTAAGCGCGCTTGCTTGCAAGGTTCTGGGCCGTTTGCCAGAGGCTTTGCGTCAGCTGCTACAAATACTCCACCTTCAGGCTTTCTGAACTGTGAAAGTGCTTGGGATCTTGGAGCTTTGCTTGGCCTTCGACAGATTGATGGCAATGGCAAGGTGGGGGGGGGTTGGATTCTGATGATATACTGGAGAACGGGCTACGGATTGTCTGCGACTTGGTCTCACAAGTATACCGTGCTTGTCGTAAAGGCTGCTACACTTAAATGTCATTCTTCCCAAACACATCTCGGATTTTGGGTTCTCGTTTAGGTCAAAGTTTAGGTTCTAAGCGGGGGCGAGCGTTCACGGAGGGTACGTGAAGGGTACGTGCGGGGTACGCGGCCGGGGTATGGGCGGGGTGGCGGGGCCACGGCGGCGGAGGTGGAGCTATACGGCGGATGAGGGTACATGGAGCTTCGCGGCCAAAGCTTGATTCTTGCCAATTCCAGTTCGCACTGCACGCTGCCAGCAAGTATTCTCAGTCCTTCTTTGAACTGGCTGACCGTTGGCCGTTTCGGTTCCATCGGAGGGTGCTGGGTCTCGCGACGGCACCGAACTCTCAATAGACCTGCAAAAGAGGGTCACCCGGACAACTCAAGATGGCAGCAGCAGCAGCTAAAGTTGCAACATCAAGATTCTGCGGGCTCATCAAGCATGGAGTGTGGCCGTGGTGTTCCAGCTGCCGGTGCGAAGGACGGTTGGTTGCTTAGCAACCAGTCGTGGTCGCAGATGATGTGGGATGCACAGGCTGACTTTGTGCCGCCTTGCACTGCGCCAACACCGACGGCGCCGTCGCCTATGTCGTCACCGCAGATCCCAAGCTTGGAAATGATGAGGCCAGGTGTCATATGTATCTCACATATCGTCTTTAATCCACAAGATGGCGGAAGCTACCCATGCGCAGCTACGTGGCTACGTCCCGTCGTGCATGTGCCTGCAGCATCTGCAGCGCTCAGTCACGGTGTCTATGTTCCCAGAACAGCTTGGCTTGACCTTCGAAACTGCTACATGCACCTAAGCCTAGCTGCGCCATGTTGAAGATTGGCGAGGTCCTGGAACAAGTGATATACGCGGCTCAATCACAAGCAGAACCGATCATTTCGTTGAGACGCAGGCCGGATGCACACTGTGTGGACGTCGTGGTGCCGTTGCCTGTGGGAGTCTCGGTGGGGGGTGCATTCGGCAGCAAACTGGTTGAAGAGGCTCTTGCGGGGTAGCTGTCGGTAGTTTTGACAACACGCGCCATTGTAACATGGC